GGGGCTGGGAGTGTCTGTAGGGCAGTGTGGGGTGTGTGCACAGGGGTTATGGGGCTGGGGTACATCCATGGGGCAGTGTGGGGGGTGTGTGTGGGGCAGTATGTCCCAATACTGTATGCAGTATATAAATACAAATAAATAAATGTGTATATATATATATTTGTACACATACCCCCGGGTGTATCAGCACAGCATCAGCTGGCTAGGAAAGGGTATGGCACATCCAGAGGGATCCAGGGGGCCACTGCCTGCCTGGTTGTTCTCACGGTAAAACTCTGTCCTGGTAATTCCTGTTTAAGACCCTGAGGTTAATCCTGGCTGTGCTCTCCAATCACCATCCCAAGTCCTCTGCCTTGTTCCTTTAATTCCACGTCCCTCCTGTGCCAACTCTCTCTGATTTTCCCTCTATTTTCTTCATTATTTCTTGTGTTTGTGGAGGTTTTTCCTTCCCCTTGCTCTTGGGAGTGTTGGTTCTCCGTGACAATAATTGGATAAAAGGAGAAACTTGAAAGGCTCAAACCCCAAATTTAAAATATACAATCCTTCCCTTTCTGTTTGATTTACCTCTTAGTAAATCTCCTCCACCACCTTTTCCCAAGTATTGCTGCAGCCAGGTTTGCACAGGAACCGGTGGTGACTACCTGTGTTTTTAATTAGCATCACCATTCCCAAATAATCTTTTCATCTGCTAACAGATCTACTTATTCCTTTTCCTCTCTCCCTCCTCCCAGGCTGGGCAGGAGGAGCTGTCCCTCCCCAGCCAACCTGGGGACAGATTTCCCTGCTGACCTTGAGCTCCCAGGAATGATCCAATGCTCCGAGATGACTCTGCCTTACTCCATCAGCATGGAGAGATGCTAAATACTTCTTCCACTCTTTTTTTAGCTGATTTGGGCTGAAAAGAAGAGGCTGAACAAAGGGACAGATGTGGTGGAGAAAAGGGGTCCATACATCATGAGCAAACCTCCCTCTATTCAGGCCAAGCTGAGTAAGTGATGCTTGGTGGTCTCTGCTGGCACTTTGGGTGTCATTTCCACCTCTCTCCCACAGCTGGAGTTACCAAAAGCCCTTTTTTACCTTTGGTGGGATAAAACCTTTATAAAACCCCATTAAAAACCCATAGGGATGCCTTTGGAAAGCACTGCACTCCACCCACGCTCACCTGCAACACCCTCCTCACCCATTCCCCAAAATAACAAACCCTTTGGGAGCACTTGGGAATTCTTCTCTCTGTCCCTGTGCTTGGCTTTCAGAGAGGCAGCGGGAGCTGGCAAAGACAGCACTGCGAAGGCAGGGGCTGCTGGGGGCACCCACTGCCCCAAAACCAACTCCTAAAAGGTCTGATCTCCTCTTCCTCTTTTCAAAATGTATTTTTCACTTTTCTCGGGGAGACTGGGAAGCTCAGAGGATTAAAAATATGAGTTTGGACCTTATTCTGCTGGCTCTGTTTGGCTGGGATCATCCAGAATAATAAAATATACTGCTTTTTTCTTTTTTTGGGGGATGATTTGGTGGTATGGATTTATTTGGGTATCCTGGGTGGAAGGAGTGGGATTCCAGCCCTGGCTCAGCTCCATGGATGTGTTTCTGTGCTGGTCTCACTCCTCTGTTTTCTGGCAGGTCTGTGAAGTTCAACAGGGGCTACACGGCGCTCAGCCAGACAGCTGATGAAAACCTGGTCTCCTTTGACTCAGACAGGTGAATATCCCAGGATTTGGGGTAAATATCCCACAATTTTGAGGTTGGGAATGCCCCCAGATGGCTTTTTTGGGGGGTTGATTTTCCTTGTCACTGGTAGAATATCCCTGATGGTACTGGGCACCTCAGAGCAGTGAGACGCTCCTGTTGTCCCAGATTCCCAAGATCCCTTGGGGTTGCACTTCCAGCTCCTTTCCCCCTCCAAATCCCCTTTATCTGCATCCTCAAGACCCCATTCTCTTTCCCCTTAGTGACGGGGAGCCAGGATCCAGGTGTTCCTCAGGATACTCCTCTGCTGAGGCAAGTGTGGGGCTCTGGCTCTGACACTGTGGGGTCCCCATGGGCTCCCTCGCTCCCCTGACCCCTCGAGGCTCTGGCTAGGGGCTGGAAGCATCACCCCACAGAGCGTGGCTGTGTGTCCATCCTGCAGAGCCCCGCTTTGTCCCCCGCAGCAGGTGACCCAGGACCTGAGCCGGCAGCTGCTGCAGGACGGGTACCACCTCGACGAGGTCCCCGATGATGAAGACCTGGATCTCATCCCCCCAAAACCCACTGCCTCCTCTTCTTGCCCCTGTTGTTTTGGAGAAAATCTCTCCTGCACGATTCAGTAGCTGCACAAGAACAGGTCAAAATCCAGCACTTTCTTTGTCCCGTGGGATGGGTGGTGGGTGTCCAGGTCTCACGCCAGGACGGTGACACAAGGACTGAACGATGCTGCTCGTGGCAGAGACCAACTGACCCCAAAAGACTTCTCCTTACACTCAGCAATAGCAGGGGGAGGTGGCACAGTGACATTTCGGTGTCCTGGATGGGACCTGGCACTTGGCTGGGGTGGGAAGGGAGGTCAGGCAGAGCCCAGCACCTCCACAGGGATATAAAGGGAAGGATTTGGGAGTTTCTAGGGTTGGAGCTAATGGCTTATTCCCATTCTCCTCAACGCTGCTTTGATACAGGGGAGACAGAGCCCAGGCCCCCCTGTCCCAGCTCCACACAGGGCTTGTGGGGCTATTTGTGGGGCTGGAGAGCCTCCCTGCTGCAAACCATAAATGCTGCCTTAAACCATGGTCCTGCTCTATGACGTAGAGGACAATCAGCTTCTTTTACAGAAACCTTATTTAAGTATTTCATGTCAAGAGACCTAAACCATTTGGGTGGGGGGCATGGTTGTTTTTGTATTTTACTTGTAAAAGGGAGCACTCAATAAAGCAGATCTCATTACTCAGAAGGGGTGCTGGTGCTGTGAGTGGGGCTCCTGTTTTGCCTCATCACATTTTACTCCTTTCCTGTGTCTGAGGAGCAACAGGGGGGGATTCACAGGCAGTGTTGGGGGGATGCTGGAGCTGTTCCCAACCTCTCTGGCTCCCTCCACCACACTGCCCTTTGCCAGGGACAAAGGGACAAAGTCACCTCTTTATTCACAGCAGTGGAGGGTCTCCCGCTCCATCACCCCCCGCCACGCAGCCCCCTTTTACAGCCAGGGAAGGGTGACACTGGCTGCCATCAGCCAGGATCAGGAAGAGCCCACCAGAAGCAGCAGAAAGCCTGAGCCTGCTCTGCTCTGTGCCACATCCAAGGAGTCGATCCACGGAATTGCTCTTTCTATACATCAGGGTTAGTTTTGGGATTTAATAGGTGGAGGGAAAACTTTCAAGCGAGAAGACTTTGCCCACACCAGTTTCTATCTACTCAAACATGGAGTGCTGTGGAGGAGGAAGTGTCCCAGGTCCTGCTCAGAGGAGGCAGCAGGCTCGGAAGAGCAGCATCCCGTCGGGCGAGGAGAGGTGGAGGGAGATGCTCTCGTTGGCCGAGATGAAGAGCACGGAGCCGCGGTGCAGGGACATCTCGGAGGCTGCGGCTGTGGAGGTGCCCACGGCCGTCCCTTGGATCACCAGCAAGATGCTGGCAGAGTCCATGGCAGAGATGAGGTACAGCTTGATGGAGGCAGGGATCTGCCAAGGGAAATGTCACTGTGGCTGGAGTCCCCCTCAGCTTTCCTCCTCTCTGGAGAGCTGGAAGGGGCTTGTCCCCATTCCCACCGCTTTGCCGTGCCTGCAGCAGCCCAAGCCCAGGGACCTCGGCTTGGCTGAGGCCACCCAAGACTTCTTCCCGGTTCTCCCTCTGCCCAGAGCTGCTGGAGAAGGTTCCCAGGCAGAGGGAACAGGGGAAGGATACTTAGACCAGCACCCCATTATGCCCACGCATCCCTCCCTCCTTGCCAGGACACTGATTATAAAGGTGAGTGTTGGGCTGTCCCACCTGGAGCCCAGCTGGTGTCCCCAGCACGGGTCTGTCATCGCTCACCTCTATCCTCAGGATGCTAAAGTCTGGCACGGGCGGGTCATAGAGGTAGACATGGGGATCGAGCTGGCTCTGCGCCGCTGGGAAGATCTTGGAGCTGCTGGGTGCTGGTGTGTAGTTGAGCATCTCACACAAGGTGAGCACATCGATGAACTTGGGGGTGAGCCCGGCGCGCACGGTGTTATCCGAGCACGCCATGATCTCTACGCAGTCTGCAGGGACGAGACAGCGCTGTCAGCCCGCCCCAGCCCTTCTGCCTGTCCCCAGGGCCAGTCCTTGCAGGATGCTGGGGTAGGAGAGCCCCCCCCCGACACTCACCTCCATGCAGGTAGGCGTGGGGCTCGTTGGCTCCCAGGAACATGGCCTCCCCCGGCTCCAGCCTCACCAGGTTCAGGAAATAAATGGTGAAGCAGCCAATGTCCCCTGGGTACTGGGAGTGCAGCCGCAGCAGCAGGTCCCCGCTGCTCCCCGATGTGTCCTTCCCTTCCGCTGCTGCACAAGAAGGGACCAGGCCCAGCGTCGGGAGGGGGCTAGGGGTGCCCCAGCCTCTCCCCAAAACACAGCCCCCCAAACTGGTTTGGGGTGTTACAGCCAGGGCAGGGCCCACCTTCCTGGGAGATCCTCTTCACCAGCATGTTCAGCTGGTCCACGAAGAACTTCTTCTCGCTCTTCATGAGGCGGGTGAAGCACACGCGGAGGGCGGCCGAGACCCCACGGGGGTCGTCGCTCCCACTGCGCTCCAGCTGCTCCGCTGCCACCTCCCCGATCAGTGCCCGAAGCTCGGGGACATCTGTGGGGCCAGCCCCGCTCAGAGCCAGTCCCCCAGCCCAGGGGAGAACCAGCACCCCCAACCCAGGAGAGCACACTCGCCATCCCCACAGCCAATCCCATCCCTGGGGAGCACTGCCCTCACCCTGAACTCCATCCCAAGGGACCACAGCCTCCGTCCACACTCCAAACCTAAACCCAGGGGAGCGTGGCCACCATCCCCACCCTGAATGCCATCCCCAGAGAGCACCATCCCCACCCCAAAGGAGCGTGGCCACCATCCCCACTCCAGTCTGACCATGCACCCTCCCTCCATCCTTACTCTGGAGAAAGGAGACAATCTCCTCCACAGGCCGGAAGCCACACATGCCCTCGAAGGGGGTGAGGGCGATGGCCATTTCGGGCTTGTGGTTGGCATCGGGATAGTGCTCAGGGAACTGGGCGTGGAGCTTCGCTGCCAGCTCCTGGAGAGAGGGGAGAGGGAGCTGGGTGCCCTCCCCAGGGACACGGGGTCCGGCTGGGCTGCCCACCCGGGGCTCTCCCTACCTTGTTGGGGTGTGCCTGGACAGACAGGGCGGTGTTGACCGACAGCACCTTGAACAGGAAGGGCAGGCATCCCTGGAAGGCGTCCTTCACCTTGGCCCCCAGGCAGGCGGGGTTGTCGGCGATCCACTGGCCCAGGGTCTTTTGTGGGATGCGGTTATCCCGGATGAGGGCATCGCCCCGGGGGTGTGCGCCCATCCACAGCTGTGAGACACCGGCGGACAGGGGGCACCCTGAGCCGGGCAGCCAACACGGATGACTCGGGCTTTTCCAGAGGCTGACCGGCCCCAGAGGTGATCCCTGGCAGCTCCCTCGGGGGCTGAGTCATTGCCCAGCCTCCCTCCAGGCCAGGGGACGTGGGACAGCTCGGGGTCAGCATCACGTCCCGGCTGGACGCGGGGATGGCCAGAGCCACAGCCACAGTGTGGGATGAACACATGGATGGACACACAGACGGGACGGAGACACGGACAGAACGGACAGAGAGACACACTCACCTCAGCGTAGGGCTGGTCAGGCTGGATCTGGACCTGGGGGTCACCACTGGCCACCAGCTTGGCCACCTCGCTCTCCAGGCCCACCTTCCCCCAGGAATAGTTCTGCACCACGCAGGAGAGGGGGAACACTGCGGGAGGGAAGTCAAGTGTTAGCGGGGCACAGAAAGAACTCCCTCAAATCCTTCCGCACACCCACACATCCCCCGGGGCAGGTTGACAGGGTGTCAGGGAGGGAGAGGACCACGGGCATGGGAGAGGAGACTGTCTGAGGGGACGATTTTCAACCATCACACGGCGATCTGGGGGGCGCTCGGGCTGGGGGCGCTCCGCCCAGCGCCCTGGAGGGGTCCCGTGGGGAGGGATCGCCGTGGCCCAGCCCAGAGCCCCCATCCCCACGGCGGGCGGTGGGTGCCCCGTGCCCCGCTCACCCCGGATCTCCGCCATGGCTCGGCCGGGCAGGACCTGACCCCCTCCCTTTCCCCCCCTCCCCCCGCCGGCTATAAGCGCCGCTGTGACGTCACGCGGCCACGCCCATGGGGTTAACCCCGCGCGAGACGTACGCGCCGCCGTGACGTCACGCGGCTCCCGGTCACGCGGGTGCCCCGGAAGCGCCAGGAGCGGCGGCGGCGACGGCGGCGGAGCAGGAGCGGACCGCGCCCATGTCGGGCTTCGACACCAACCCGTTCGCCGACCCGGTGGACATCAACCCTTTCCAGGTGGGCGCGGGGCTCGGGCGGCCGCCGCTGGCGCGGCCCGACTCGGCCGGGCCCCTCCGTGCTCCGCACGCCGGGACGTGGCACTGAGTGAAGCTCCGCCGGCCAATGGCGGAGCCGCTTCTCTGCGTCTCGGCCAATGAGAGGGAGGGGCGGGACCGGCGGGGCGTGAGGGGCCGCGACCCCCGGCCCTGAGGGCGGCCCGGGACCCGCTGGCCGAAGGTCCGCCCGTAGCGGGGCTCCCGCTCCCCCGCCCCGCATCCCCGTCTGGCCGGGGCTCCGGGGCCCTCCTCCGTATCCCCCTGGGCGGGGGACCCGTGCCCTGCCCGCAGGCCACCCCCGAGCTCTGTGACCCCCCCTCAGGGGCCCTCCTGCTCTGTCCCCGGGCCTCCTCACCTCGGGGCGGGCTCTCCCACGGCCCTCGCAGCCAGGCACTGCCTCCCCTCCCTCACCTCGCCAGGCAGTGGCGTTTGGAGTGGGTTTGCTGCCTCTCACGATGCACAACAGCTGGGAATGCCTATTCTGAGGTCTTATTAAAAATAATCCATCGCTGGAGCTCTCTTGTCCGTGCTGCGTGGTGCTCTGATTGTCCGCTGGGTCTCTCTCTCTGGGTCTGTTTTTAAGGCGCTTAAAAGTGAGTTCCTAAGGCAAAGCTTCGTGGCTCAAAGCAGGGGATTCCTGTTAAGGTCACTGAGGACTTGGTCTGTGTTCGCTGGGTTTCTCCTCTCTGGGATTAACCTCTGAAAATTGGGGTCATTTATGCAGGGAGCTGGCCTGGAACAGCCTCTGGTGTGAAAATCAGTGTCTGGCCTTTGGATCCCATCTGTGAGCTCAGGCTCAGCTTCGCTGCTTGGCTGGGATGTGATCCACAGGAAGGAGTGTTTTCCTGACCTTGGATTCCAGGGCTGAGCCAAACAGAAATTGTTTGTTGATGAACCTGGGTCTTTTGAGGAATCAGAGTGAAAAAATACTTTCTTTTCTTTCTCACTTTCATTTTGGTCTTCGTAGTCATATGGTCTTGTGACTCTGAGGAATGGGAAGAGTTGGGACGATCGTGTTCCTCTCATATTTGTTCCAGGGGGTGGAATATATTGCCTTTCCATGGACATGGGATTTGTTGCTTTGGCTCTGAGGAAGTAAATATTCCTAGAATCACAGAACCGTTTGTGTTGGAAGAGAAATGAAAGCTCATCCAGTTACCCATGGGCAGGGATACCTTCCACCATCCCAGGCTGCTCCAAGCCCTGTCCAGCCTGACCTGGGACACTTCCAGGGATCCAGGGGCAGCCACAGCTTCTCTGGGCACCCTGTGCCAGGGCCTGCCCACCCTCACAGGGAAGAACCTCCTAATATCCAATTTAATCTCTGTCAGTTTGAAACCATTCTCTGTTTTCTTGTCGCTTCAGGCCCTTGTAAAAATCCATCTCCATCTTTCTTGTTGTCTCCTTTCAGCTGCTCTGTGCACATTAAAGCTGTCCTGGTATCTGACAAAACAGGGCCGTGCTTACTCGGTATTCACTGTTCAAACAAAAAAAGGTTGAAGGTGATTTCCAGCCAGTAACTCCCATGTCAGGCTCACTTCTTAACGAGGATTAACACACGTCCCACCATGGATTCTCCTGTGACAGCTCTTTGCAGCTCATCCGGTCCTTGTGGGAGGTTCTGAATCCTCCTCTTGGGGCTGCAAGTTTTTGTCTTACCTTATTTCTTTTTTTCAAAAGAAATTCCCAAGTCCCCAGCAGCTGGTTGAGAGGAATTTTTGACTGCTGCTTCCTGGAGCCTCAAAGCCTCGTTGGTCCGGTTTGAAATGGAATCCCAGCCTGTGGGACAGCCTGTTCCCTGCCAGGGGCTGGATCCAGGTGTTGGCTCTGTGCTGGGGTGACAGTGTCCCACTGACACCCCCTGACATGCTCTGGAAGGAGCAAAAGCCTCCTCACCCTCTCAGCCCGTGGATCTCTCTTGCCACAGCACCAGGGTTGTCCCTCCTTGCTGGAGCTCCCAGTTCAGTGCTTCACCCTCCTCAAATCCTGACGTGACCAGGATTTCTGCCTTTTCAGGAGACTTTGCTCATGATGTTTGTTAAGCTTTGTGTAAAATGAGCTGCTTTGGTCCTGTTAAAAATATCTCTGGCTGCTCTGTTACTTATTGTAACCAGTTAATGAGAGATTATTAACTTCCTTCCTTTATCTAGTAACCTGCTGGAAGTGGCAGCTGCCTCCAAAACTTTGATTCAAGCTTCTGACAGAGTTGGAAACTTCCATCCTTTTCAGAGATATCAATAATATAATCCTAAAGATTTCTCTTGGTGCATCTTCCAGGCAGTGGCAGCACTCTGAGTCTGCAGGACTGGTTATATTTGGGGTAATACTGTGATATTTTGACAACTGTGTTAAGCTCCAGGTAATTCTAGGTTGAGCTCATTCTCCTTGATCTCATCTAGAGAGGCCTCTCATTTTGTTTCTTTCATCTGTGGGAATAAAAAGGAAAGAAAAAATAGCATTTCTTGCACAAACTTGTTGTATCCAAACCTTTCAGCAGGACGACAGCAACTTTGTATTTGCACTGAGCTGCATTTGAAAATCATTTTAATATTTGTGGCAGAGCAGTTTGGTCAAGATGTGGAGTTGTTCTGTGCTGGGGGCTTCTGAAGCCGTGGAAAACAATGTCACACGTCCCTGGCACTCGAGGAGGTGATGGTTAGAATGGTTACCAATGGAATCTGCTCGTGGCATCCCACAGCTCCAGCCTATCATTGATTCGTGAGCACGAGCGTTGTGGCTGGACACACTTATTGTGGCTCCAAGCGGTTCTGAATTCAGCCTCTGTCCTGATCCTTTCCAAGGCTTGTTTCAGGAGGGCCAGCTGCCTTTTGCTGTGTAGCTGGCAGAAGATAACTGTGAAAACATGAAGTTTGTGGGCAGCTCCTCACTGATCTCTGCATTCCTGGTGCTCGCTCATCCCTCACTGCCTGCTCTGGGCTCGAGGAAGCCGCTGCCCCTGATCACCCTCTGCTTTCCTTCCTGCCCTACCCAGGCACGTGTCCAAACACTTCAGCTTTGTTGCAAATTCCCTGCTCTTTGAGTTCCTGTTTTAGACACACTTGCATGACAGCAGGCAAGTTAAGCTGAACTGCTGGGCCTTGGCCTTACAGCTTGATTAAGTGATTTTTATTTTTTTTTAAAGCTATGCAGACAGATGAGAGCTTGTCTACCTCGGGAATCAAACTGTGGTGCAACTGAAGCTGTGGTGCTGCTCTCCCTGCCCTTGGAGAGCCTCCAGCTTTCTTTTAGGTGCAGATCAGGCAAGGGAAGTAAAATGTGTGTTTTACAGTGGTACTGTAGCATTTCTCCCAATTCCCGAGCGCTCTCCTCCCAGCCTGACCACCCAGGCTCTCTGGAGGGTTATGCAGCTTTCACTTTCCACACCTCAAAGGGAATTTCTCTTCCTTGTGCAGTTATTTTCTGCTGGATTTTAGTCCAGCTGGGGCTCATGTGCTCCGGACTAAAGGGTTTGTGCTGATGTGTAGCACTGCCATGTGAGGGGAAGTGTAAGCTTGTGCTGACAGCCCACATCTCTGCACAGCTGAAGCTTCCAGAGGCGGCAGGAGTGAAATAAAAGCAGGTTTCATCTCCAGCGTGGCAATCCTGCTGCTTCTTCCCACTTTTTGCAGCCCTCCCTCTCTGGGGAGTTGAACTTCTCCGAGCAGCATCTGAGAATCCGTGATGCCTCAGCCCGGGGTGATTCACAAACGAGTGTGACCTGTTGGTGGGGAGTGTCTGCCATGCAGGAGCTGTGGAGTTACTCATTAGCTGCTCTGTGTGGATCCTGCTCAGCAGAAGGCTGCGCTACAACTCCGGGAATGGCTCCAGAGGGATTTTCCTCCATGCCCCGGCACCCTCAGCCCCACGCACCCCGGCACAGCCTCGGCTCATTCTCACCCCAACCAAGCACCGAATTAGAAGGGCTGGTCTGGGTGCACAAGGTGCTGAGGGAGGGAGATGAAGCCACTTTTTAATTTTCTGACCCACACCCAGCTCTCGGGTTGCCAGGCAGGAGGATTTCCCAGTTCAAAAAGGGCCTTGTTTCTGGAATAACTGGGGAGAGGAGTGCTCCAGAAGGCAACATCTGGCTGCCCAAGAGGAATCTCTGCATGGAAAGGAGAAGGTAGAAAAGAGGAGATAAAACCAGCTGTGTACATTGCAGGTGAGGGGAGAGAGGTGTTCTGAGGTGCAGAGAGCCTGTTTTTAAACATCAGAGGATTTGATGGAGACGAGTGGGAGGTGCTGTGAGTAGAAGTGAGAGCTGTTATGCCAGCAGCATTAAAACCTCCTAAAATAATTGGTGTCACACCTCCAGCTCAATTTTCCCGAGTGTTTCACTTATCCAGAGCAATCATTGGCATTTTAGCTTGCTGGCATCTCTCAGCCAAGATCAGCTCAATCTAAAACCTCATTTTGTGTGGCTCCCCTGCTTGCTTTGTGAGGCCCAGCGACATCCTGACCATGGGATGTCAAATCCCTGGAAACTGGGATTAACTCTCTGTGGATGAGCAGAAGTAACCTGCACAAAGCATTCCTGTGCCAAAAGCATGTTGTGGTTGTTCAGACATCCCTCTTGGCTGAACAGGAGATTATTTCTGCTCACAAGTCTTGCCTTGCAGGTAGTCATCTCCTTGGATATTTAAATTTCATGCCAGCCAGGGTCATCTCCCTGTGGCAGGGATGTGTTTCACCCCCTCAAATTCTCAGCTGACAAGCAGA